TATTCTTGAATATATAGGTGAAATGATAGAATGTTCCCGACAAGTTAGACTTGATATCCGGTAAAGATAAATAAATAAACAGATATACAAATGAATAAATAAGTAAGGTGGTATTCATCATGGACTGACATCAGCTGGAAAACAATTGAAAACCTGGGAGTACTGGAAATCTTTGTCGTCCCAGTATGAGACTCCTCAGAAATACGCACTCTCGACCCAACACTGTCAAGTATCGGACTCAGAACCTTCAGGTTTCACGGTGAACGCGTTAAGGACTCAACCACTAGGTTGGAGTTGAATGGTTCAAGGCCTCTAACGTCTGTTAATTCGTGATGTAGCTCAACTACTCATCAAAGTCTTCAGTTGGCATCCGCTTCACTTCTGACTGGTGTTTCTACACGTCCCTGTTTTCAGTCTAATATGAATACTATCCAGAAATAAATCAATCCCTCATAAACTTCATGCTACATGTCGATATCTATGTCATTCCCCAATGTAATTTGTAATCGAATGAAATGATGAAAAAATTCTGAATTTTCCTTTTAACGTTAAACGCAATGTTTTTCTACACACATACATACACACACACACATACACACACATACACATACATACATACATACACATTAAGAACTCCGATTGCTAATTCATACTACACTTTACGCAGTTTTTATTTCTCAACAAATAAGTCCAGGAGATATATCAGAAATTCTATCTAAAATGTATCTGGAAAATTTACTTTTTTTTCAATACAAAATATGGATCATTATTCTATAAAGAATGTCAACTCCTTATTTGATGAAGGCATATTATCATCGAAATTTGGGCAGCTAGCTACGAGTGATTTTAAAGGCCAGCCTAGCAACAACTAAAATCACTGATTAAACTTCTCTATTTTAGGAAAATCTGCCTTTCTAGCCGAAATGGAGAAACCTTTCGACTGTTGCTAGGGTGGCCTTTAAAGTCGGCACTAATTACACTGAGGGTAGGTAGGACCTATTATTATCATTATTATTATTATTAGTATTATTATTATTACTATCCACATTACTTAACTGGTATCAATAATGCTGTATCGTTAAAATATATTAGTCTGTTATCGTGCCTTTTTTTCCTCTCGACCATTTTATTTTGTTGTAATATTTTTATAGATAGGTTAGAGATAAGAAGAATAAATGCTATAGAGTAAAGGAAGTAAAGAATGGTTATCTAAGTAGGTAAGGGAAAGGAGGGCAGTTAGTTGACATTCAAAAGAAGGAATATGCAGAGAAGAATTCAGGAATAAAAACTTAGTAGTGATAAAGATTGGCTAGCAGTGGAGTCCAGGGTGTATATTTCGCCCTGTTTTGCACTCTTCAGCTGGACGTACCTGCACCTTAGTGAGTAGTGTTGTCCCCACTGAGACTCGAACCCAGCATCCATGAACACGCGGCAGTACCGACATATTCACATACGAATCCATCTGCCAATGAAGGTCGAGCAATTCAACCCCGTGTGGTAACGGAAAATTTCAAGTAGTAGACAACAGTACATGACGATTTTATAGTTTCCGTACTGCTTAGTTCACATGGGTGTATGATAATTTATCACGTGTTCAAGACAACCTATTACAAATAAACTCTTTATATATTCACTTCCCATTGAACTTTTGCTCGTCTGTTAGGGAAAGAAGTAAGCGTATACATTTAGAAAAGCGAGCAGTAGAAAGGTAAAGAAACAATAGCTAACAATACACAGGACTCTATTAATTAAGGAACTGTGCAATATGCATGTAAACTGTGAAATAGCACCATTGATCAATTTTATCCTCGAAATTCATACTGTTCTCATAATAATTATCAAACAAAAGAAAATAACTTTAAAATATTTTGATATTTATTTAACTACAATCAAATGTATCTATACCGGCTTACTTTCTCATACGGAGCTGAGTACATTGGTTGTATCATGTGCCAGTTTGCAAAACGTGCTCGAGAATACTACAACTCAGCCTGGCTAGCAAAGGGAGAACGGAAGTTCATCTTCAGCTGAATAACAGAACGCACTTTGTGAATTCAAGTTATTCAGGTGCTTTTAAGAACTCTTTTGAGGTCTTTTAGGAGGTTCAATCAAGCTACTTAAAGGAAGTGAGATCAAGGCATTTCGGTATTGTTAAGGCACTAGTCATCCATGAGTTCTTCAGACCAGTGATGTGTCTAAAAAAGGATACATTCAACATTTGTCTTTGCTATGGTCATCATAAAGTTCTGACTATTCTACATAAAGTAATGATGGATACTGGTTAGCAGTGGAATCCAGGATGCGCATTTCATCCACATGTAAAGAGACCGATCAATTCGGTCCAATCAACGACGGTATGATAGAAGCAATTATACTTGGGGCGTTACGAAAGGGATTTCCAACAAACTACAGATATTTATCAACAACTACCTACGCTCATTACTGATGCTCAGATGGCCAGAAAGAATAAGCAACAAGGAACTCTGACAACGAACCAACCAAGAACCTATCACCCAACAAATATGCAGAAGGAATTGGAGATGGATTGGACATGCACTGAGACCATTCGGGGACATCACACGCCAGGCACTCGAGTGGAACCCGCATGGGAAACGGCGAGTTGGTCGTCCGAGGGTGATATGGAGGAGATTATGTGGGGGAAGAAATGAGAGCTTCTGGGCTGTCGTGCAGCCAGGTTGAAAAGACTGCAGAGAACAGAGTGCAATAAAGGCGTTCTACTGAAGCCCTATGTTCCACTAGGAACCCAAGGGACGAATAATAATAATAAAATAAATCCTAAAATCTGCAACTATATTTATTTTTTTATTGGTGTGTTTATTTTCATCCTCTAAACACTAATTTGTATTACGTAACTTTCTTCCCTTATTCAATATATATTTTGGCCCCCAACAGGAAATAATTCTAGAATTTTCTACCCTTCATGGCATAGTTTAGTAAATGACTTGGTTCAAAAGAAAATTCTCTCTTCGCTGCGACCGTCTTCTTTGCCTTTTCCTATGATCAAAATGTGAGCATGAAAATTTTCCCCCGTAAAACTGTACAACTCTCGATTCTTTGTTCTTACTAGACTACCTTTGTGTATTCACAAAACAAACATTCTTCTTTAGATCATTACGCTTCTTAATTAGCCTAAAATTTACTCATATTTGTGTGAAAATATGATAAACACAGGTGACAGAAACTGTTCATAGAATTGAAATAGGATAATCAATCTGTAAATGATTTACAAATTTCACGGTCCACGTTGATATTTCTCAGAGATGTATACTTTTTTCAACTTTCCAAGTATGATGCCAGTCAACAGGATTTCTGTTCAAAACCACTCTACAGCCGAAATCAATAAGGTGTGATGTCTAACACAAAAGTACTAAGAAGTAGTAGTATCTTTTGCTTGCAGAATTAACGCCTAAATTCCTTTCAACATTTTATATAGAACCAGTTAAGAACGTATACTAAGACTTGCAGGAACAATAGAAATACTTAAATTGAAACCACTTTTATGTGTACAAAGTCTACTATGGTCAACTTTTATTTATCATGATTCTAATCTTTCTTAGTCCTAGTCCCCAATTATCATGATAATTCTATTTGTTCTCCCATTTTTCAGTTTTATACAAACTGATTTAATAGTCCATTGATTCACACATGGGAAATTATGATCAATAACATAAAAACCCTAACCGTCGTTCATGAAGTGGCTTGGTGGATAACACTTTAGTGTTTAAAATGGTCAGTCCTAGATTCGAATCTTAGTGAGAATAGTATCACTCACTGAGAAGCAGGTAAATCTAGCTGATGAGTCTCAAGTGGGAAAAAATGCACATCTTGAATTCCATAAATAGCCACCATCCATGAATATTATCAAAGTAAACTAATTGTTTTAAACCATGCGCATGCATTTCATGATCTAAGTGAATGGAATTCATTTTAACCTTTAATCACAAATAAACAGTACTATAAAATTCATTGACGCTCAAAACTATTTGCTTTGAATAACAATTATTTTTCCCATTTTAACCATGTAGGATTAAAACTTATTCATCAAGCTGTCTTCTTAATATTATAGAGGATTTGAAATCCACCTTAATTTTGTTACAATCACTGCTGACATCATTACTTCTCATTTCTTCCTTCATAAATCCTTTTGAATTTCGATAGGTTAGCTTAAATAAAATTACAGAACCTAAGGAATAAGTTATTGAGAAGGAGATATTTTGTTTTTCAAACTGTCATTTAGATCAATAAGGGGAATTTTCAGGGAACTTATCCCACATTGTATGATGAATTACGATGACTATTTCAACCTTTTCTAATAATGTGAGCATGACAAGTATAGTTACTGAACAACTTAAAATATGTTCGAACGATCTTATTACTCTGTGTGTGTCTTTTCCTCATCCTAATGTCTCATCGACGAAATCAGCAACATTCATCAAGCTAGACATATTGAAGTTGAAGATTATGTTTAGATAAACTTGTCAACTGATAAGTGGCGTAGCGTGTTAACTCTGCATTCAACTAAGCTACTTGGTCTACATTTCAGTCATGTCTTTCCTATGCTGAGTTTAGTGGGCTGACACTTCTATGGGTCGTTCGCAGAAAAGGAGACACCAAATAGGATTTAAAACTATTTTCATATATATATATATATATATATATATATATATATATATATATATATATCAGACTACAATTCCTGATAAGCTATAACTGGCACGTTTATACATAAGAAGAACGCGATCCAAGAATACAAAAGGTTACATATAATCAACTAAACTGTTTAACCTCGGAAAAAGAATAATCTATTTCCAATTACATGTGTGTTACTTTTAAATGATTAAACTGAAAAATAAAATCAATAAAAATAGGGTACAACAAACGAACGCAGCGAAATAACTGTTTCATGGAAGCCTACCTAATACACAAGTATGCATCATTAACTAAAGTAATAATTGTATAAATCTTCCCCATTATCTTACCTTCTTTTTCTTGAAAAAGTCGAATTCCATTAACGGATTATAATCAGACTGTAGTGAAACCAAAAATGAAAAAAATAGATGAATATTAATGGTGGATTATTTCGAAAAATGGTTTTTACATTAAACTAATATCAGACAAACACACTATATGGAACAAGATAGTTTTATTCAATGTCAAAAAGCTACAATAGTAGTACACTCCTTTATAATGCATTCTCATGTCAATCAACCGACGTTAAAGAATATTAGAAAGACTAATACAATTCTTTCGATCAGTGGATCGAGACTCTTTATCATCATCATCACCAGCATCATCAATATCAGCAGAAGACCAAGTATTGCTGTGTAACGGTCCAGGTTACCATACTGCATTTCAGAACATGCAGTAACAAAGTAACTAGACGGAAGATGAAGAATTAAATAAAAAAAGAACCGGTTAGAACTAGAAGAAGGTAGTAATAAAGGGGAAGAAGGAATGAGAAAATGCTGAATTCAGTATAGAGATCAAGATGAATACATCTGTGCCACTGATACCGATTCTGAGCCATATCAATTACAGTCTCTAACCACTGGTTTCTGATGTCACGTGGACCTCAACCGATTATTCTACATCTCCCTACATAGCTCAGACCAACAGTCACAGACTTGTTTTAGTTTGGCTGACCCAAGCCTTTTTTCATCCTGAAACTCCTTCAGCTAACATTGTGTGTGACGAAGCAGATGGTGACTACGTATGCGCAACACATGTGTGATGCGATGAATGTTCATAACCTCATTAACTGACTCTACTCTCCTTCCTAAAACGTTCTAAACCTGACTTCAACGTTACTGACATGGTGGCAACATGACACACCATCTATGCTACAAAGGCAACAGTGATCAACCATCTGAAGTCTTCTTTTGTCCTCTTTCTTTGACGGTAATGTTTCTCAATCATATACCAAGACAGAGAGAACTGCAACACAGTACACTTGACCCTTAATTGATAATCCGATATCACGGCGGCGTCATTAGTGTAGTAAGTTGGTGAAAGCCAACGGAGTCTTTTGTGTTTGCTCAGAGATTTCGGCGGCCATTGACCCACCAGGGTTGATCCGACTTCTCCGTGAAGTGAAATGCTTTTCGTGTTCAACCATTTCTCTCTCCATTATAAGACTGGATACCGTCAAAGACCAGTTATGAAGCAACAATTCCTATTTGGATGACGATAAACGCACACTAGACATTTTTGAGCTGCCAGTAAATGTGTTCAGAAGACTGTATCTTTTCAGAGTCTTTACCTAGCATCCTACCAAAGATTCTCCTGTGATGAGATCAATCCTTGTGAAATCAAATGACAAGAAAGAGACATCCATCAGAACTTATACAATAAAACTGAACAGGAATAGAGAGAGTGAGCATTCCAGACAGACACCACTTCAGACTCAACAACCCAATATAGTCTAAATTTTGTCCAGATTTTCATAATTTGAATGCTGGATGCTTAAGATGAAAACTACAGTGAAACTGACTAATCAAGTACACAAGTGTTTTCCTTGATATTTTTACAAGAAAACACCCTTCTTCCTAGTGAGAAATTCCAAACATAAGAAAGCTAATCAGAATGGAAGGTCGATAACCTGTAGGATTATGGATTGAAAAAAAGGTGGTACTTTATTTGCAAATAACCTACAAATTGCATTGTTCCCATTGACCTTTCTCATAGCTGATAGGTTTTTTGAATATTGAATCGAGGTGTCAAATAAAAAATCGGTTGGGAACTATTTCATCAAGATTATAGATTATGGTTTCTAATGCACACTGCCGAAAACTAACGAAATATATCAGTAGTGAATAATTTGGTGGGGAAAGTGGAGATGTTGCAGTTACTCATGATGTTTATTAGTAGTATAATGAAGTGAAATAAAATTCTGGTTTGCAGTTGGATCTCGTAGCTCAGTTGGTAGACCATCGGGTTGGAAACCCAGTGGTCGCTGCTTCGAATTCAGCCGTGGTCCAAATTTTCATTTCACCTTCAATCATCACCTAGTATCAATATAGGTCTGCCAAACTATGGCTATCTGAGATAGACAAAACGATAATGACCATATGTCATAACTATTGTAAGGATTTTTATTCTGCTACATTATTTTAATTGAGATCTAATCTACTCAAACCCAGTAGAATGAAGTCGATGAAGAAACGAAGGGCTTTTTCAGAAAACCTTCCCTAGGAGCCATTAAAATGCAAACTTGGATTTTACGATAATCGGATGTGAAAGGATGCTTTAGAAATAGTTTACACTTAAATTTAAGCTACATACACTGAAGATCTTTTCACTTCCCTAGGGATCAGCACTGACAGTGATGGTTTACATAATCAACGAATTCTCAATATCACTGAAATAAGGTTTAACGAATGCTCATTAACTTGTTTGGCATACAGTATTGTCAAGATACGAACTTCTACTTGCAGTGTCAGATATTCAAAGCACACTTTTAGTTGGATAGAGACAATCAGCAGGAAACCGTGCTTATTGGTACCCATCAGTCAGGGGTCTGTATGAGTTTGACGAAACTGAGATTTGAAACGACATCACTCAGTATTGCAGTGTTACCATTAAGTTATTTAGGCCCCGATTGGCCTCCTGTAGGACAGGGCTGGTACACTGGTTGGTTAATGAAAAGTAACACAGTTGACAACATTCCCCCTCGATAATATCATTTCCATGAAGAAGAGTGAGCAGTTGATAAAGATGAGATAGTTTATTCGGCTGAAATCTTTAAGATATGTACTGCACACATTCAACCACTTACAACCTCAACACTCAGTCTCCATAGAACATGTAACAAGAAACAAAAAAGTTGTTGATTGCTAATTTTCGTATTGTATACGCATATTTAAACTGCATAACTGAATTTCCTGAAAGCTGACAACAGACACTGATGTTAAACTTTAAAATCAAATACAATAAAACAATTATTATTGTATTGTAGTCGGAAGTAGAACTATCAAGTCCTATTATTCAAGTTCCAAAAATTTTCGTTTCCCTTTTCTACCTAATTTTGCTTCAATATGTTGTTATTTTTACATTAATGAGACATTATAAGATGTATTTATTATCAGCTTCCTGTAACATTTTGGATTTTCAACAGTTTATAGAGTAGACTAAGTATACTGTACAATGAGTTTTTCATTACAGTTGAACAATTGACTTCACCTAATAATACATGCGAATGCTTTTATAAATCCCCTAACTCGCCTCTCTGATGTTCGTTTGTGTTCAACTGAGGGTGAATACAGTAAATCGAGGCAGGTCAAGTAGGGTTGAATAGGTAATACGTAAGAATAAAAACATTACTGAACGTAACTATGACTCTCCGTGGATTCGCACAAAAGCGTCGATATGAAAAAGCTCTATGAGGTGTGTGGTTGTTTGAGCTACTGACCAGGGAAGCTGACAGCGACATGTACATTGATGCATAATGGTGAAGTCGTCATACAACGACGGTGTGCCTCCTTGTGACCCAGCTGGATTCTAACCAATAAATTGTCACAGTTGACTTAGTGGTAATAGCAGTCGATGAGATCCATATGCGCTGATCAGTGAAATGGGTCTCCAAGGCACTGAAGGGTCAGCTGACCATCAGGATTGTACATAGTGAGCTGAGAGCGGTGAGCCGATAAAGGCTAGGAGAATCCAGCTTCCTAATTCCGGTAGTGGCTGTTGTTGAGGCAGTCCCAAGCGAGCGTAGTTTACCTTGCAAAGATGCGACGGTATTCGGTCCGGAATGCCAAATGTCATTCACTGTAGCCAAAACTTACTTCTCAGGCAGCATGGGAGGAGAGTCTGCTTCTTCCGGGAAGGTGTGCTGCATTGCTTTCTTCAAGATTGTGAATAATCAGTGAGACGCATTCTAGACACGTCTGCCCGCAAGAAAGTGAGTACTGTCAACGAGCCGATTACCCAGTGAACGCAGATACATTGAAGTCTAACAGTTTGGGGAGAGGGATTCGCTTATCACTTTCATGGGAGAGTTAACAGAGTGTTCTGGCAGGAATGTTCGGTTTCATATAGTTGAGTTACTGAAAGATGTTTCTTGCTCGGAAATGGGGTCGATCCTACGGGTTAAGAGATGATGGCGTCAAAACAGATTACATCTGGCCTAGAACTTGGAGCTGAGTTGAAAATTAGAATAAAATTCCCTAAGAATAGTAACGTTTGTCAACAGGACAAATAAACACCAAAAAGTGATAACTTACGTCCATTCCAACACTGTCGTGTTTCTTTCGATGACGATTATTCTTTGTAGTAAAAGAATAATCAAAAGATGGATGCTTAAAATAAGTCCATTCTGGCATTCCTTTATTTTGTCCATTAGTTGGACTATTCATATCTATTGTTTGGCTTTCATCATTTGTCCTACTACGTCTGGATAAACGATGCTGACGTTTACTAACACTGATTTGTGGCTGTGAATATCCGGTTGGATGAGGTGATGTACCACCACAACCGCCACCACCAGTCTGTGAACCAGACTCTTCAAATACTGTCGGTGGTAAAGTTATAGGATCTGCAGCGAAACGAGCTAAAAACCGTCCAGTAGTTGATGTTTTCCTTCGTTTTCTTTCAGCTGGTAAATTTCCAGCAGCAGCAGCAGCACCACCACCACCACCTCCACTGCCTGATGTCGAATTGATTGCAGATAAGATAAGATTACTGAATGAGATTTTACGATGTGGTTTTTCTGGACATACTTCATCAATTGTTGTACAAAATTCAACAGCTGCCTCCTGATTTTGATTTTCATTCATTAGTGAATCAGCTAGAAGTAAAGATTTACTGGCAGTAGTAGGACATGTATCAAAAGATATTTTTCTAAGCGGATCAGATGATTGATTCGGTGAACGAATATCACTTTCACGACGATAACGTCGTAAATGTTTCTCTGTTACTTGTAATGCCTCCCAAGGTATAATCCAATTCATAGCTCGTAGTTCTGCTTGAAATTTAGCTCGTCTAGATAAAAATAAAAAGATATTGAATCAAACATAATTAAAATAGAATATTTTATAAATATTACCTCGCATTTTTAAATATCTCTCTACCATTCATTCATTCGTTCCCTTTTATATATTCCCTTCTTTTTCGCATTTTAGCATTTATGAATTTCTATTGCATTTGTCTTCTCGCGATGTTGAGAGATTTGGCATCGTGTAACATCACAGAGTACTTTGGAGCAAATTCAAGCGTCGGTTCATTAAAAAAAACCATTTTTACTTTCTCCATGATGTTGTAGCTGAGCGTGACCATGTTAACTGAAAACCACTATTATAATTATTATATTATTAACTGGCATTTGGGTTCCTAGTACAACATAGGGCTTCACCACCGTGTCGCCATTTCACTCTCTTCTCTGCACTCTTCGCCAACTGCCTCCACGACTGCCCACAACCTTCCATTTCTTCCTCACACCATCTCCTCCATATGTCACCATCGCCTCGGACACACAAATCGTCATTTCCCATTTGTCGTCCACTCGACACCCTCACCTCGCCTCGCCTGGCACGTGATGTCCACAAACCATCTTCTCAGTGTATCCCCAACCCAACCCAACCCAATCCATCTCAACTCTCTTCTTCTGCATATTTGTTGGATGATGGGTTCTTGGTTGGTTGGTCAGTTGGTCGGTTGGTCGTTAGTTGCCAACCTGAGTTCCTCCTCACTTATTCTTATTACGCTCGCCATCTATCTCATCCATACTCAGTATCGAGTGAGTGAGTGAGAGAGTGTAGGCGTAGACGGTAGCTGTTCATGTGATGTATGTGTGTAGTTTGTTGCAAATGCTTTTCGTAAGACGCCGCCAAGTCTCTCAACCATCACATGGAAGCACTGACTGACTTGACCGAAGTAGTCTTCAAAATCCGGATCTTCTTCACACCTCATGCTGAGTGCAGTGCAGTGCAGTGCAGTGCAGTGGAGTGCAGTGCACTAGATCTCCACACTGATTATTTCACATTAGTGAAGGTCTTTCTTGCTGTCTTTCCAATTCTGGCTTTCACATCTCCATGCTTGCCTGTGCGTGTGCCGCCTGTACTTGTAACAATGCTGCCTGACGGCTTAGGTAAGTGGGTAGGTAATTAGTTAGTTAGTTAGGTAGGTAGGTAAATGGGTATGTGGGTATGTGGGTGGGTAGATAAGTAGGTGGTAGGTGGAAGAGACTACTCCCTTTCGATTTACGCCGTTGATGGGGATTGGTGCTTGTCATCGTTGTTACTGTTGGTCGCGGATCTTCATCACCTGTGTCTTCTCTACCTTCACCTGAAGGATGTTCCGTCTTCCTTCGCTGCCTCGTCACTGCCTCGCCTCTTCTTCCACCTTGTCAGTTTTCGCCTGCAGATATTCCACTTCCTGCGACATAACACATCACACATAAATCATCATCGGAGAAATCTAAATCGTGTAGGGTCTCTTCATCGGTCAAACAGCCTATGCCCATCTCCTCATAACTCCTCACAGTTGTCTGCTGCATGATCCAGTCTTGTCCAGTCAACCATAATCAGGAAGATCATAGGTGATGATAGTAGGCAACCATGTCCTACTCGTGTCTTCACTTGAAAGGCGTCGCTGTGCTCCTCATTGTGAATCACTTGGCTTGCATGTAGTATCACCATCATCATATAGCTGTTGAATGAGGTTGGTAAAGATTTGTGACACTAAAACCGTAGTGTTGAAGCACCTGGCTGCTAAATTACTTTTCGGTCGACGCTGTCAAAGGCCTGTTCAAAGTCGATGAAGTTGAAGTAAGGTAGAGAGTTGACTGTTATTCTAAGCTCTGTTTTATGATGATGCGTAACGTAGCGTTGTATTGCAATTTGGTCCGCACATGATTTGTCCTCCCTAAAGCCAGCTTTTCACCTCCATGTTTATTGTATAAATTTTCCAAAGATCTTTATAAGCATCTACAAGAGTTCACAAAGAACTAAGAAGAAACTTGTTGGTAGGGAGAAAGAATGGTATGATTTGTGATCAGTGGAACTTTAGTGAACAGAAATATACAGTGAAGCATAAATAATTAACTGATTAAATGAAAATAATTGGCTTACCGATAGAATATAACTCCTAAGACCAATGATAAAGCAATGAGAACAAATAGTACAGTTGCACCAATGATTCCAATATGAATAATATCTGTGGAAAAGTGTACAAATAAACATGATTATAGGAATAATCATAAGAATAACATGAAAAATAACTTCTTTCTTTTTTTTAAAAAAAAACAATAGCTCACATTATTTTACTCAAATCAAGTAATAACTCATTGAAAATTGATCACTTTATCGAATATTTCCATTGACTCATTGATAACAAATTTACAACTTAGAACTGAAAAAAAGTGAGTATCTAATCAATTTCCAAAGGAATTTTCTTTTTAATCAACAGTTATTATGATTTAAACATTTATTTATAGAAAATTTTATGCCAAGACATCAAAAAAAGTATTTATGCATTAACATTCCATTCAGATTTGAAATCATAACTAATGATCTATGTATACAGTGTACTTCTAAGTCTAAGGTTTTTGATAATATTCATGTCTTTAATACTATAGATTGTAATTGTTTGTTACTGACTGGACCGAATTGATCAGCTTCTATTCGAATATAAAGGCACCTATTCGGATGCTTCAATATTACCAGGAATTTTTGATTTTGATATCAATGCTAGATAATGACTAACAGTGGAATCCAGGGCATCGGTTTAAATCCTGTTTAGAACTCATCAGCTGGATATATCTACCTCTTAGTGAGCGATGTTGTTTCTACTAAGACTTGAACTTGCAACTGATGGCTGTTAACATCATGTCAAACATATTCATATTTCTTCTCAAAACTTTCAGAAGACTGTGCAGCATTGTCAGCGTCATCATCTAACAAGATAATATTGTCAGAATACTCCAAATCCACTACTCAGAGATGAAAGATCTGAAAATCAAAGATTCCTTAACTGATGGGTTTCAACAGTGAAATGATTTTTTGCATTGTTCATAATAGGAAGGAGCACAAGGTTACTTTTCGTAATAATAATAATGACGATAACAATAACAAACATTAACCTCGCCTAGTTTACCGATTCACTAGTCTACTAGGCGGTCGTAAGCCCGGATAAAGAGGAAGGCTGGGCATAGGGCTACCAACCCTAACCTGGGAAACCTATTCAACCGCTGAAGAAACTTCAAAGCACAGACAAAACATAAAAAACAAACTTCTTCCTCGCTATAATCAGGGAGACAAAACGACGCCGGTTGGTGAACGCCTTCAGGAAGTATATTGGCCGGTGTGTCTTCCTTTCTCTCGATGAAAGCAGAAGTAAGCATAGAGACATGGAACGTCCGAACAATGTTTGAAGGTGGCTGGCTGGCAAGGCTGCTCAGATTGCAAAAGAAATGAGAAGATATGGCATAGAAGTGTTACGAATCTACAACATCAGATGGAATGGAAGTGGACTCTCCAAACTTTCAACTGGAGAGGAGTTAATAATCTACTCCGATATTGTCACCCAGAAGACAACCATGAGCACATTGAAGGAGTGGCTATCAAGATGTCCTCAAGAGCATAGAAGGCTCTCATGCAGTGAGAACCAATTTCTTCCCGGTTCATGGCAGAAGAAAGTGGAGATGGATTTGATTTGGTATACACTGAGAAGACCATTTGGAGACATCACGAGCCAGGCCAGGCCAGGCTAGGGCATCGAGTGGAACCCAAAGGGGAAACGTCGAGTTAGGCGTTCAAGGGTGAGATGAAGTAGATGGTGCGGGGAAGAAATGAAAGCTTTTGGGCAGTCGTGGAGCCAGTTTAGAAAGATTGCAGGGAAGAGAGTGAAATGGACATGTGCTACAGAAGCATTTGTTAACCCAATAACTTTGATACAAATATTAAAATTACTAACATCGATTCCTCCTGGACAAAATTAAAATACTACATACGTTTGCAAATAGAAAACTACTGCCAAAGCTATTCCGCAGTGCATTACAGTAATGAAATAGGAATGGACGCGATAATATATACAGATCCTTTGTGCTGGGAAGACATTTCAACGGAGTCTAACAATCATCTTCGATGAAACCTAAATAAACTGAATTTTATCTATTCTCAAGTATCTAAATAGAAAAAACCTAACACACTTAACTACAAGTGAAAACATGATAAAGGTTAATCAGTTTGAAACTTGGCAAAATAACTAATAGTGGAAAAATAAAATGATCGATAGCTCAATACATTAACTGATTAGATTTAATCTGAAATAAGGTTATATCAAGTGGGGAATTACAAGTATTAACCAACAACAAATAATACTCGTTACACAAGAGATTATTCTCGTGCTTAGTCGGTAACGCTTTTGGGTTTGAAACAATCAGTAGTGACCCTGAGTCCTAGTGGGAACACTATCACTCACTGGGGTGCAGGTACATCTAACTGACGAGACCTGTAGAGGACGAAATGCAGGTCCTGCACTTCGATGCTACCCACTAATTAAACTACAACATAAAGAATATACAAGCAGTATCAAGGTGTTCGTCTAGGAGGCCATATCCCAACAGACATCGAGCAATTTGAGCCAGTATAACATTGAGAGATTACAAGGAATAAATATTCAATGAGAAGTATGCAAAGTTTACATCCTTAGCAAAATATGCGATAAAATCTACACTAAAAGAGAAAAACTCATTCACGAAGTGATTGAAATTTGTACTACATAGCAAAAAAACACAACTAAAACTATTATTAGACGATTGTTTGCTTTTTAAAGGAGTAAGAACAAACATTGGAGCAGAATAATATCGATCAACTTTATCGCTCTGGCGGTACTGTGTAGCTGTTTAAAATCTAGGATATTTACTGAAATAAATTACAATAAAATATTAATATACTTTAGTTCAGCTAGTATAATCAAAACGGGAAAACGACATAACGAAGTAAGGAAACTATCCGAGTTTGCGTAAACTCAAAATTGAATTTCAGGTTTGTGGGAACATGAAGATGTTTCAAGTTGATATTCATCGTGAACTGACATCAGTTGGAGGAACATTGGACAACTGAGAACACTAGACAACTGTTTTGTCCTACTATGGGACTCCCCAACAGTGCTTACCTGCGACCCCCACCACACACCAGGGATCGAACCCGCAACCTTCAGATTCCGTGGCTACCACGTTACCATTGAGCCACTGCGTCGGAATCCAATGCTCTATATCTCCAACTTCTGCCAGTTCACGACGTAGCACGACCATTACCCAATGTCGTCGTTAAGTATTCGTCCTCACGGCCATCAGGCTTTCCCCACTGGTCACGACTTCTCACTGGAACTTCGGGAATCACCTCCCTAAGCTAGTTACCAATGAGCACTATTTCAATGTCACTGGGTGACGGTCGCGCTGTGTCGTGAACTGACAGAAGTTAGAAATATGGACCATTGGATTCCGACCCAGTGGCTCAATGGCAACGTGTTGGTCACAGGACCTGAAATTCATGCGTTGCATAACTGGCAGGGTCATGGGTTCAGTGTTCTTAGGTTTCCAGTGTTCCTCCAATTGATGTCACTACACGATGAATATCAACTAGAACAAACAAACTAAAAATGTTGCTCATTTGTATCATAAATAAAAATATGTAACTCTAGGTTTGTGGGGAATTTCGTCTTGAAGGCAGTATTCATCACTGACATCAGTTAGAGAAACAGTGAGAACCTGAAAAATTGTTTCGTCCTAGTGTAGGACTCCTCTGCGGACACATGATCCTGCACCGCCAGCGGTCGAACCAAGGACTTTCAAGCCTCATGCCGAACGCACTAAACATTCGGTTACTAAACGAAAGTTCAATGGTTCACACTTTCTTACTTCTGTCAATCCGCAATATAGCACAACATCCACCAATGTCTTCAGTTGACATACACTTCACTTCCGACTAGTTTACCTCACAAGTCACAGCTTCTCATTAGAACTTCGGGATATCCATCTACAAATATGTCACTAATGAGCTCTAGACAGCAGTTTAGCCTCACGCTTACGGTGATTTTATTAATTTCAACAATGATCGTCCTAATGATATTAATTCGTGATGAATACCAGCTTAAAAAGACAACATGTTTACTAGTTTCAATCCGAGAAAATGTCTAGGATTAGTTCAGTTAGGAAGAATCAGACCAAAATAAATGTTCCTTCGCTGTGCTTAGCTTCAAACACATCAGCAAAATAATGTTGTTTCGGGATGGAAGCCATTGAAAAATCTCTTCTTCTTCTCACATGAAATTACGTTAGCTGCTGAGTAGACAGGTGCGTAATCCGAAAACGTGAACGCAAGCAGCAGATTTGAGTTCATTGCTACTGGGGCTTATTGTTAACTGACAATCTAATGAAGCCTAATGAAGTGAACAAATAAGTAGATGTTTAAGAAATTAGGCTGATCTACAGGCGAAAACTGACAAGGTGGAAGAAGAGGTGAAGCAGTGATGAGGCAGCGAACGAAGACGGAACATCCTTCAGGTGAAGGTAGAGAAGACACAGGTGATGAAGATCTGCGACCAACAGTAACAACGATGACAAGCACCAATCCACATCAACGGGGGAAATCGAAAGGGAGTAGTCTCTTCCACCTACCTACCTACCTAACTAACTAACTAACTAACTAACTAATTACCTACCCACTTACCTAAGCCGTCAGGCAGCATTGTTACAAGTACAGGCGGCACACGCACAGGCAAGCATGGAGATGTGAAAGCCAGAATTGGAAAGACAGCAAGAGAGACCTTCACTAATGTGAAATAATCAGTGTGGAGATCTAGTGCACTGCACTCCACTCACTGCACTGCACTGCACTGCACTGCACTGCACTGCACTGCACTGCACTGCACTGCACTGCACTGCACTGCACTGCACTGCACCGCACTCAGCATGAGGTGTGAAGAAGATCCGGATTTTGAAGACTAATTCGGTCAAGTCAGTCAGTGCTTCCATGTGATGGTTGAGAGACTTGGCGGCGTCTTACGAAAAGCATTTGCAACAAACTACACACATACATCACATGAACAGCTACCGTCTACGCCTACACTCACTCACTCACTCACTCACTCACTCACTCACTCACTCGCTCGCTCACTCCTCACTCACTCACTCACTCACTCACTCACTCACT